TTACTAACACACACACACACACACACACACACACACACACACACAACGATTTTATGGAATTAAACTACTTGATGCGCAAAACGCAGTTGGATTGATGAGAGATAATCGACCATGCTACGAACAGCGTAAAATAATTACGCAGAAGCACGCACGGTAATACAACAAGTCATTTGTCTTATTATTAAGGCCGACCTCGATCAAATTATAGTATTATAATTGTAATCGCTATCTTTTCGGTAGTATAATTATATTGTTAACTTTATCGGCGAGTGTGCAATTGCCTACGATAAGTATCGAACCGTATAATTCGTCATCCTTGGTTTTTAATTTTCCTTTCCACGCGAGGGAAAAAAGGCGAATGATTTACAATGAAGAATCATTCGATGACTCGCCGGTTAAGTTAATCGGAATTTGACCGAGGTCGTCCGGAGGAACAACATTCCGCTTAGTTTATTTGTTTTGATATTCAAACACTGGATTATGAATCAAAGTGTTCTTAATGTGTATAATTAATGTACTTATTACATAAAACAGCGCAGGCACGTCATTTTCGCCATAATAACTCCGCCGTGAAGGGACATAAGGCATTAATTAAGGAATCTGATATACATTACTTTTATGCGCGTATGCTAGTGTGTGTGTGTGTGTGTGTGTGTGTGTGTGTGTGTGTGTGTGTGTGTGTGTGTGTGTGTGTGTGTGTGTGTGTGTGTGTGTGTGTGTGTGTGTGTGTGTGTCGTTGTCCGTTGTGTGTCGTTGTGTGTGTCGTGTTGGTGTGTGTGTGTGTGTACACATCTTCTACAGCTAAACATTTAAAATGATCTCGAGCTTTTTCAGTATTAAATAAATCAAATTTATTTTATATATAAAATTAATTGTGATGTAATTTTATACTACTCTTATTCTTATAGTTATGTATTCTTTTTTATATATCTATTATGCAAACGATCCTGATGGTATGGACATGCTGTCGTTACTACCGAGTATCAAAATTAATTGCCAATCGTGCGAGAAATCGTGGGAACCTTACAGCGAATTTGAGAGCATGATTTTTATTTGGTGCAGCACACCTCGATCGGACAAAAAGACAAGTCAAACCTCTTTCAACCCTCCATCTGCGAGAGCTTGTCCTCCAAACTGTCCTGACTGTCATTAGTGTCGTTCAGATTGATGGTATCATTGGCCTGCGACAATTCTATGACAGAGTCACCGAGACCGCTCGTAGATTTCCGCTCCTCCAACACATCGTCAGATGCCTCGAAGATCGAAGCGGAAAGATCCTGATTGTCCAATGTTATGGTACCGGACTCAGATTGACTCTCTTCCTGTACAGAGATCTCTTGCGAAGACTCCTCTGCCTTGGGTTCCAATTTAATTTCCGCCTCTTGTTCGATTTTAACCTTGATGTTCTGCTCGTTCTGTACTACGCCATCCTGCTCCATCTGCTCGTTGACCACGACCATTACTTCGGGCTTTCGTTTCACAGATGCGTTCGCGTCTGACGTCGAAGATGCCGTGATACCGGAAATTTGGGTGAGGTTACTCAGCACAGTTTCCTGCATCTTTACCACATTATCGGTAGTCTCGAAAATACTGCATAACTCGCGACTCATCTCCTCCACTTCTGACGCTTCGCCAGGCTTCACAATCATAAAACGTTTATTCGAATACACCTTGTTACTGGAAATCGTCGGGCCCTTTTTCAAGGGTGTGTTACTTGATATAGTATTATTACTATCATTCGTCGCCGTTTTCATCGTGCTCTGAACTTCTTTCTGAACATTCTCCAATGTTTCCTCTACGGCAGTATTCTCCTTTTCCTTTGTCGCAATCTGTTCCGTCTCGTTCTTTTCTTCTTCAGCTGGATTGCTCTTCGTCAGCGTCGTTTCCGTATCGTCATTGTATTCCCGCTCCTCGTCATATATACTCTGTTTTCGTTTCACAAAAACTCTCTTGAGCGGCAACTGTTGTTCATCCTCGGACTCGTCGTGTCTTTCTGGCAACATTTCATCAATTGCTTCGTAGTCTTGCTGCGCCTTTCTTGCTTGTAGCTCTTCGATTTTCAACCTCTGCTGTTCCACTCGTTTCTCTAATTGCTCTAGTTTCTCCTTGGTTTCTTGATCTTGACCTTGAGTAATCGGTTGCGTTTTTTGCGAATTCTTCGTCGTGCCGCCACTGGAAGATGCCGAGGTCTTCAGCTCAAATTTCTCGTTCGAATTGCCATCTCCTGCTTTCTGACGTTGTTCAGCAGATTGCAGTACCGCCTGTACCAAGTTTTGCGATTTGTCGAGTGATCGTTTTACCACTACTCGCTTCACCACATTGCCAGTTGGTAGTTTTGCTAATTCTGCAGGATCTATTGTAGTGCCATCCGGATTCATAATAATCTCGCGAGTAGTGTCACCTTGCCGGATAATTCTACGGACGATTACTCGTTTGACCTTGTGTGAACCTGGAGTACCGATCAAAGTAGTATCCCCATCCTTGATATTAGGTGTATTGACTGATGTTCCTTCGTTACTGCTTCCTGCTGGTTTCCTTAACACAATTCGTTTGATCACTTTGACAGTATTGACAGGCTTCGGAGTCGATGTCACTATCTCCATTTTGTCGTTGTCTTTGCGACTTTCTTGGGATGTATTTTGAGATCTTGTCACAGGCGTTGGCGTTTCCTTTGACTGATCTTGACTAGCGCTCGGTTGATGTTTCAACGGAATCTTATGTTCCTTGAATACCGAGGCGACGATTTTCTGTACTTGCGCTTCGGTATCATCCACGCGGCCGCTCTTAGGGCTATCTTCTTTAATTTGTGTAGAGTTTTTCAAACTGCTTTGAGAAGAGCTGGTGGGAGTGCTTTGTTTCGTAACTTTTTGCTCTTGAACATCGCGACGCTGGATAGGCATTAGTGTCTTAATGGTCTTCTTCACCATGTTGCCATCTTTGCCGCGCAGATACACCACCTTACGTTCATCCTTTTCTTGTCTCTCGGCTTTCTCTTCTTTATCTTCCCTCTCCTCTTCTTCCTCCTCCTCTTCACTCTCTGAAGGTTTCGGTGGTTTCGGCAATTTCTTCACGATATACGCCGGCGGTTCGTAATCATCATCCCCGTCAGAATATTGATCTTCTTCTTCTTCTTCCTCAGAGTCTATATCAAGATTCTTCTTATTGTCGGGTTGTAAACCGTCTGGGCCCATTTTCTCACCCGCCTCAATGTGCTGTTTGATATGAGTAACATAATCGGCGCGATTGCGACAAGATTCTTGACAAACGTCGCAAGTGAGACCCATACCTGTACGTTTTGTATGTGTCAATTGATGCACTTCCAAACTTTCTTTACGTTTGAAGGCCTTACCACAATCCTCACACACATGACGCTTTTCCACCGAATGGGTACGCATATGTCTAGTCAAATGATGCGACAGCAAAAAAGTGCGGGGACACAGTTTACACAAGTACGGACGATGACCAGCGTGGGTGGACAAGTGTCGGGCTAGCTTTGTGCTGGTATGGAAGGCTTCCTTACAGTAGTCGCACACGAACGTCTTGTCCTCGCTATGTAACATCTCGTGCCGTTCCAAGCCTTGCTTATATTGGAAGCGCTTATTACAGATATTGCATTGGAACGGCTTCTCTTTCTTGTGTATCGCATCCTCGTGTTTCTCGAGTTCCTCCGTAGTAAAGAACTCGCGGTCGCAATGTTGACACGCGTAGCGCGTCTCATCTCGATGCACCTTTTCATGACGCTGCAACAGATTCAAACGAGAGAACTGCTTCTGGCAGATCGAGCACGAATACGGTTTCTCTTCCGAATGCGTGCTCATATGCTTACCGAGGTCATACTTGGTGAAAAAGTGTCTGTCGCATTCGGTGCACTTGTAATTGCGATCGCGATGTGCACGCTGGATATGAAGGGCTAAAGCTTGACGCAAGGGGAACGTACGCTCACACTGATCACATGCGTGCACTCTGATCTCTCCCGGCTCCAGTTTTCTCTCCTCTTTTACATTAGTCACTTCCTGATCACCCTCACTACCTCCGTCCTGCTCTTCGTAAAGATGTTCGTTATCCTTCTCTCTCTTCTCGTTCTGTCTTTCTCTTTCTCTCTCCCTTTCTCTGGTCTCACGTCTATCTCTAGTATCTCTGTCACTATCAGAGGTACGTTGCTTTTTAGTGATCTCGTTTTGTGATCTAGAATCGGCGGATCTCTTGTTACTAACTTCCGTAGGTGGATCAGTCGGGATAGGCGGAAAAGGTCTAGGTAATACTCCAGACATGGGATAATCCCTTAATGCCTCATCAGCCTTTTTGCATTGCATTTTGAATTTGTACGAGCGATCCAGATTCCAGCGGCACATGTTGCAGATCATCTGCGGCATCCCATCCGCTGCGTACACCTATCGAGAACAAGATCGACGAAACGTTAGCAACGTGTTTCACCTGTTGGAGTTCCGGAAAGGAGTATCCTCGGTGTCCAAGAATTGAAGGAGAGGAATTTTGTTAAACGATATCCAACTTCATAAATTTTATTAAAATTCAATAAAAATTAGTATATAAATAACACAAAATTTTTTGACACGTGCAAACCAATTGCAATGGGGATTCCAGAATAGAAGTCTAATAGAAATATAATTAAAAAAATAATAATAAAAATTTTACCTTTTTTATATAAATACTTTAAATATTCAAGATAATTTATGTGAAATTTCATTGCGATGCAAAGATAAAATTGAGATTATTATCATTATTTTTTAATCACATTTCTATTAAAGCATATTTCTATTTTATATTCAAATAATTTTAATCAAAGTTCTTAACCGCCACAAAATTTAAGATATAATACATCCTTAAAACTGATTAAGATACTTTGTGTGTGTGAAAATCACAAGAAATTAAGAAACATATGTTATACTTACGTAACATTAAATAAATAAAATTAAAATAATGAAAAAAATAGAAATATTTTCTTATTTAATCAAAAAATAAAAAATTAGTTTCTTTTCCTTTTATTTGCGTAAATATACATAATGTATGTCTTTATAAAACTTTTATTTATACAACATTTGATATTTAATATATTTTGTAATAAAAATATGAATACAAATAAAATTATTTAATACAATAAGAAAATATACATAGCAATAAAAAAAGCAATAGAAATGCAAAAGAGCTTTGATAGGCGCATGTTAGGCATACAATGTTAGACGTCAATAAATAAACATTTAACAAAAAGAAACGTTTTATATACGAACCAACAAAATACTTTATCGACAAATCATTAAAGTCGACAGTTTTACTTCACAGGACAGAATAAAATTTTTTATATTCCAACCGCTTGTCCATTGAAATAATCGATTGTCACAATCGAAAATCCAGCTTCGCGCGTGAGAAAAAATTCAGAGAAATCAGGCGGGAAATGTCGGGAATTGTCAAGCACGTGTCCTCTCCACGCGAACGCAGGAACCACAACGTGGTGGAACAGCCGGCAACATCAACACTCATCCTACCGACGTCGTCGCGCGATCGTATCAACTCCTCGTATCGCGACACAACAAAAACCCCCCTCGTCAACTCAACCCCCTACCCCTTCGCGGTACACGCTAATGAATCAAATTCCAAGGCGATAACAATGAAACCCCGGGGGGGAGGGGGGAGGGTGGCGGGAGGATTCCGCGCGGATGTTACCCACGAAGGGCACTCGGCGGTACCACCTCCGGCGGTCGATGCCGCGAGCGGCCCGTCGCGGGTACATCGTTAGCGGCGGGTCCACTCACCTCGATGGCGACGCAGGACATGATCTGCAACGCGAGCGGCACCTGGAACGGCTTGTTGTGCTCGCGCTCATAGATGAAGCTCAGCGGTTCCGAGTCCGACAAGCAGAATCGGCAGACCCGCCGCGAGCGCAGCGGTGCCGGCCTGTTCTCCATGTCCGTCGGCGTCTCTCTTTTTTCGCCTTCTTCACCAGCACCACCACCTCCTCCTCCTCCTCTTCCTCTTCCTACTCTTCGCGCGTTGCCTCCGCTCGCGCGTCCCACGACGTTCGTCACCCTCGCTCGGACCCCGCTCGGCAATCGCGCGCGATTAACCACTCGTCGCGACGACCCTACCGCCCGAACTCTCCGAGAACCCCGATATGAAATTCGCGGACAACTCGCGGCTGCTATTTCGACTCACTCGTTAGTTGCTCGCTCGCCCGCTCGCTCGCTCGCTTGGCTCGCTCGCTCACTCGCTCGACGACGCCGAGCGTCGGTAAGCGTCGTGTACTTCGCCACTCTCACCGGGGAATAGCGGGTACGCCGTCGACGGCGCTTTATAATGGCGGACAAACGCGGAACAGGCTGGCCAGACGCGCGTCGCCTCCGCTGCGTAGAGAAGACGCCGTCGTCTTTGCACAATGGCGCCGGACGAACATCGGACACGTGGCGTGGGTGAGCGGCACGATCGATAAAGCAGGAAACTCATTTGTCGTTGATTAATACGTCGCGAGCAATTTTGTACGATTCCTCGCAAAGAGATGGCGCGTCTATTCTATCTGAAGGCTTTGTGAGAAAGAATTATCTTACGTATTCTCTCTTTTCGCATTATTTAAATTATTTCAACATTCTTTCAGTATATTTCTTTCATATAAATAAAATAACACTGACATGTTCGCACTAATTCGTATTAAGACTTTAGAGAAAATAATTAAATAATAAGTTTAACCATTTTCGAATTAATAAATGCAAACTAGAATTAATAGAATTATTAATAATTAATTATTATTAGAATTATTAATTAATTATTATTACAATATTATTATTGTATTAATAATCCTCGATATACAAAAATTAACAAAATATTTCACAAATATTTCAAGATTTCTACGATGACAGCTGTTCATGAAGTAAGCGCAGCGAGAGAAGTATTAGTATTGCAAAAAAGGAGTTTTAACAGGGTTTTAACATTTCGATATATTCGAGATTCTGATAATGTCTTTTTAAAGGAAAAAATACACATTTTTATTTTGACGATATTTATCTTTTATATACTTAAATTTTGAAAACACCACTTTTTTGAAATAATCCTACTCATATATTAAGAAATGTGGCGATTTTTGCATACAGCACAGCAACAACGTAATCGTGATCTGGATGTTCTTCGTCGGGATATCGACACGGATGTGCACATTAAATCGGCAGGGGATCTATTGCAAAGCCTACAAGTGGATCCTGAACTGGGTTTATCTACAGTTATTGCAAAGAATCGCCTACGAGATCAAGGACCGAATGCACTAACTCCGCCGAAAAAAACCTTGGAGATTTTTAAAATTTTGCATCGATGTTGCGGAAGATTTTCCTTGCTAATATGGGTAGCAATTTGCGAAGGATTTAATTTTTCTTTTACAAACATATATAAAATTTAAATATTAATTTAAAAGAAGAAAAGAGGAAAAGAGAAAAAAAGAGAGTATAGATAAGAGGGAAAGAAGAAAGATACATCGCAAACAATTCTTCCTACGAATTTAGAATACGCGAGAATACGTTATTTAACTTTGAGAATTATTTATCCTTTTTTATCCTTTTTGTAATTTTAAACATATAACAATATAATATAGAAATTAGTATATTATCAATTTCAAAATTTAAAACCTTTTATCAATTATCTCTTCCACCATTATTTTCAAGACTATGTTAATTTTAAACTAAAATTTTTTCATATATATGTTAGGAAAAATAAAATTCTTTCATGAAAAGAAGTTCTCTTTGTGAGAAGTCTATTAAAATATCAAGTCTATCGAAATATATTCAATTTTTAGGTGGGCGCCATTTTGTGCTTCGGCAATTACTTCTTGGAGTTAGAGACCTACGGTGAGGCTTCCGAGGATCATCTCTGGCTTGGTTTAGTTCTGATCGTGTTGATCGCAGTCACCAGCGTGTTCAGTTACTATCAAGACTCCAAAAGTTCACGCATCATGGAATCATTCCAGCAGATGGTGCCGCAACGGGCCAAGGTTCTACGGGATGGCGAGAGAAAGGAGCTGCTGGCGACCGAGCTGGTGGTCGGGGACATCGTCCTACTGGAGACCGGCGACCGGGTGCCCGCTGACATTAGGATCCTGGAATGTCAAGGTGAAGTGTGTCCTGCCACTGCAGTGGACTTTTTTGTTTTACTTAAACAGAAAAAAATGAGCCTTTCTCTTCGCACGAGCTTGCATGCGCTTAGGATTGAAGACCCGCGACCATTTCTCGTTTTATTCATTCTTTTATCAGAAGAAAGTAGAAAAAAAATATTTGGGGAAAACCATAAACATAAGATTATGTTACAAAAAATATATATATGAATTATTTGATTCTTATTTCTGCAGTTAATTTTTCTTTATCTTTTAGATAATCAAATTAAAATTTTATTAGAAATTAATCAAGTTGAACTGATATTACTTTTCTTATTGTACTTCTAACTTATATTGTAGCGAAAGCATAATAAAACTTGAGTTACATTTAATAAAATTTTATAAAAAGTATAGTGGAAATTCTAGATTCTGCAGTTTATAAGAATTTCTTTTTTTTTCATTTTAACAAACAGGTTTAAAGGTTGATAATGCGTCAATTACGGGCGAATCGATACCATTGATACGAACAGCTAATATTCCGCAAACCGGAAGTGTCATTCAAGCGAAGAACATGGTATTTTATTCTACAAATATTGTCGAAGGTATATTGATTTCAAAAATAAAAATTATTTGTTATAATAAAATATGATCTTCAAACAAGTAAAGTACAATACATAATTACAATACATAATATTAGAATTAAGAAATCTTATTTTCTAATAAATATTCTATTATTTTTATTTCTTTACTTTAGTAAATAAAATATTAAATCCAAATTATTAAATTCAAGTTTGATAAGCTTTATTGTTAAAAATTTCTGTCGAAGCTAACTTATTTAATATTAACAGGTAGTGGAAAAGGCGTCGTTGTAACTTGTGGCGATCATACAGTGATGGGCAGAGTGGCTAAGTTAACTTCAAAACTATCAGCCCGACCTACACCTCTCTCCTGGGAGATACATCGCTTCATGAAACTGGTCTCGTATTGGGCCATCTTCCTGGGTGTTTCGTTCTTCGCCATGTCCGTAGCGATAGGCTACGACTGGATCGACTCGGTGGTATTTCTGATCGGAATTATCGTGGCGAACGTGCCAGAGGGCATTATCGCCACGATGACGGTCAGCTTGACCTTGACCGCCAAGAGGATGGCCAACAAGAATTGTCTGGTGAAGAATCTCGAGGCTATTGAAACTCTAGGGTGCACCGCCGTTATCTGCAGCGACAAAACCGGCACCCTCACACAAAATAAAATGACTGTACGATCCGTTCCCTATCTTACGAGTAATATCGACATACACATAATTCTAACGCTTTA